ATAGCACCAACGAGCACTGTAACAGCTAACTAGTAACAATCGTTTATCCACAACTGTGTCGCGTTATTTATCCCTAAGAAAAACCGCCTCTTTTGTCCCTAGATCTCCGCACCTACTTTGCGCATTTTTGACGCGCATACATATATATATATATATGTTAGCGTCAAAGTCCGAAGTCCCGGCAATCTTAGAATTGACTAGACTAATATCCGAAGTAACCAAGCGTTTTGGGCGAAGTTCAAAACAGTCTTTTTTTCGGGTTTTGACTGTTGTGTTTTTAGTCAATCTCAGGAGTAACCAACACGGCTGATCAAAGTTGAAAACTCTGTGAAAACTTTGTTTTATCACTTCGAACTTTGACTAGTCAATCCCAGATGGGCACAAAATAAATCGGAAGATGTCAATCAGACTCAATCGGATAGACTAGTATTAAAACAAGAGGTGCGATTCCATGCACTATTATTCACTGCGTAACGCGTAACGCGTAAAAAATAAAATATAAAACATATTAAACACGTAATCTCTTTAATTGGTTACGCGTTACGCAAAAAATAACAGTGCACGAGATCGCATCCTAATTCTTTCATGTTCTTTTTGTTGGTGTTGTAAGCATGTAGGCAGGGGAGGCTGCGCCCCTCTTGCACCAACAAAAAGAACATGAAAGAATTAGTCTTGTTTTAATACGGTCAATAAACAGCCGGTTAAGGCAAGGTAGAGAAAGAATCCAGGCATTGCCTCTATCTATCTTGTTTATTGTTTGACCTTGCCCTTGACTATAAAGGAGGGGGTTAGTGAAGGTCATATCCGAACGTAAAATTTCTTGCTCTTTCTATTTCCGGCGTCAAAAATATGGAGTTTTCATTTAAAAAAACGACTTGACCTTGAAATGACTTTGAAGGTCAAGGTCAAGATCAAATCCAAGGTCACGTGGTAATAGCCAGGGAAAAGTCCTACAACTTTTGTCTGAAATATTTTTCTGTTCGACTCTTAGTTTTCGAGTTATGTTGCTGTATCGGGACTTTCTGAACACTCTGTATATATATACACGCATATATATATATGTACATATGCACAGTGGCACGTTCGCGTAACGTCTCACTCGATATCTTGATTCCACCCGCACATTTGCCTTATTTGTAATTCGCCGTATATTAATGACGTTATATTTACATGTCGAACTTGAGAAACGCGGCTCGACTGATGATTACTGAAAGAGATGAGTTAACGCCAACGTCGTCTCTCAAAGGGAAACAATAAAAAAAACCGACTATGAAAATACAGACGGGAAAGGGTTGCGAGTAATTGCATAATTATGCCCGGACGCACTTACCGCGCGCTGTCTTTGCCACGTCAGAAGGAATCAAAAAGTAAGCTCTTGTAATTCGCGGAACGACAAACGCGCATCCACGAGGTATCCGCTGGCCGTCTGTAATACTGGCACTTTGCAAAATGACCGACAAGAAAGACATA